TACATGCTAAGTGTTTCCTATCTCTGCATAATAAACTGTAAACAGGAATCGATGGCACAATGTCCCTTAATATTTCCTGGTAATGAAGACACAAATGTACAGTGAGTGCTGATAAATATAGATGAAACGTAAGCTATTCTCCTAGTCTGTATTGTTACCTTTAAAACAAATGCATCTTTCTGGTAAAAACATAATCAGAGCTAATGCAAAAAAAATGACAGAAGATTGAAACTGTCCTTGTAACTACATAGAAACTTTGGAAAAGTCCTCTTAATCACGGCTGCTTTAAAGGCTCCCGGGCTGAAGGTGAGACACTAGGAGCCACGTCATTCTGCTTCTCCACAGTCAACAGTGAAGAACTCCTTGGGTTACACGCATCAGAGGACACGGGGACAGTGACTGTCTTTAGCACGCAGAGCCCATCTCAGTGAAGCTGGCACGAGGGGGGCTTCACCAGTGCGGCTTCCCGTTTCCCCTTCATCAGGCCTCTCGACAGAATGGTGATCGTGAATAACCAAGTTAGACCTGAGATGGCAGGATCTGCCTTGGAGGGCAAGGCAGTGCTCTCTCCTGCATGGCTTTTAAACCACTTGTTTACGGCATGGTTCTTAACAAAACACTATACGAGCAAAAATGCATCTCACGGAGATAATCTCATGAAACCAGCTTCCCCTCTGACCCAGAACCTAGCTGGAAATGCCCAGGGAAAGGGAATGTGCAGACTTCTTACCGTGCTGCTAGAGATTTTAGTGGGAAAACTTTATTTCCTGTAATAGCAAGTTTCCGCTTTTGAAAAGCCAATCAGGTGTAAAGCCCTGCGTAATGAACCTGCCTTTGGGTCTGTTTGCTTAATCTTTTCTCTAAAGCCCCTTCCTGGCTTCCAAAGAAATAAAAGTTATCCTCTGTTCTCCTGTGTAACTATGGAAACTCTGTTTTATCAAACTCACCACTTAACTTCGAGGCTTGTGTTGCAAGTAAATGTGCTATTTTGAGTAAATCTACACTAAACAACCCTATAATGTCAAAACATTTTTAATAAAGTTCAAAGGGCACTTGTTGATTCAAAAATGAGGTTTTTTGTTATGTAAAGGGAGTTTTCTCTATTTAAGCTGTTTTATTATATAGATTGTTATACGGTATGCTCGATATCCTAAGACATTTTCTATTTTCCTTGCCCATTTTTAAGAGATTTTTTTCAACAAGTGTGCTGCTTTTCCCAACAGGAACTGTTCGTTTTGCATTAAAATCTTCACCATATTCTGTAAAATTGAATTAAGATAAAAGAATAGAGTCATTTATCTTTATTGTCTGACTAGGAAATATGGGATGGGAGAATCTAACAAAATTTACAAAGAAATGACCTGATTCTCAAACACTGAAGTCAATGGGCACTGGATTTTTGCAGAATGATTTTTGGATTTTGTTCTCATTACAGTGTTTAATTTAATATGGATTCTGTTAATATCAATCTCTTTGTCCTAAACACTTTACTTATTATTGGGTCAATACACATTTATTGAGAACTGATCTAGGGAACTCCATGTTAGTCTCGGGCATCAAAAGATATAGAAAGCACAGCTCCTGTCCTCACGGTACAAACCAGAAAACTGAGGATTCCAGTAGGATGTGGAAAGTATGAAAACAGTTGCTTCCATGTCCTGGCTATTGTAAACAGTGCTGTAGTGAACACTGGGGTGCATGTGTCCTTTCGGGACATGTTTTTCTCCAGATACATGCCCAGGAGTGGGATTTCAGGGTCATACGGTAGCTCTATTTTTAGTTTTTTAAGGAACTTCCATGCTCTTCTCCATAGTGGCTGCACCAGTTGACATTCCCACCAACAGCGTAGGAGGGCTCCCTTTTCTCCACACCCTCTCCAGGATTTATTGTTTGTAGACTTTGGATGATGGCCATTCTGACTGGTGCGAGCTGATACCTCATTGTAGTTTTGATTTGCATTTCTCTAATAATAAGGATCTACTGTATAGCACCGGGAACTCTGCTCAATGTTATGTGGCAGCCTTGGGAGAGAATGGGTACGTGTATATGTAGCTGAGTCCTTTGCTGTGCACCTGACACTACCACAACATTGTTAATTGGCTATACTCCAATATAAAATAAGAAGTTTTTTTTTAAAAAAAACCCTAAATTCTCAAGTAAAAAAAAAAAAAAAAAAGAAAGTATGATAACGGAAGAGGCAGAAGCAGCGATGGGAGTGCAGCCTGGAAACGCTTCCCGAAATGATGAATCCTGAAGAATTCATCCTGAGAGATTCAGAGACTTTGGCTAAAATAAATAAACGTCCCCAAAGACCAGTTGAAAAAACTACAAACAGTCGAAATCATACTTGGCTTGGTGAAACAATGTATTAAAGCCATACTTTTGTACAGTTACACGAGGGTCAAGGAGACCAGCTGGTCAAATGACAGAGCTAAAATTCAATGTTTAGAATATGTTGATGTCATTTGTAACTTCCAAAGGAACTTTTCCCTTCGGTGTCAGAGCTGAAAAATCTGTCTGTTGAAATGCAATTAATTTGTCATCCATGCTGTGCTACAAGCGGCCGCGTCTCACAGAATTCTGTGTCCCAGTCCTGTTCTGACGGAGCCTCCACCTGGATTCATAGGTGCTGCCTGACGCCACGCTGACTCACGGTCACTTTATCGTCCCAGCGCCAGTAAAGCTCACGGACGTGAGGGGCTGTGTAGTGTTGACCTTTCATTGCAACATGATGTTGTGGCCAAAGTAGGTGCTCAATATGTTATTACTGAATTCAATTAAAATAAGCCAAAGATAATACTCTTCAGATGCTTGAGATATTATCCTATTAATTGTATTCGAAACATAACTTCCCAGCACAACACCTGGAACTTACAGATTTTGTCCGCTTGACTGCAATGCCAGGTAAGCAGAATTTACGATTTTGTCTTCCCTTGTGTTAAAAAGTCAGCTCCCAAAACACAAAGGGGAGCAAGCATAGACTGTAACAGATTTTACGGTCAGATTTCTTCCCCAATGTCTACTTTCATCTAATTTGCATGGAAAATGACAGTATGTGATTTAAATCAGTCCCTTTGTGGGGATAACAGCCAAAGGTAAAATAGAAATATTATTCTTATTTTTCCAACTTTGGCAAGAAAACCATTTAGGAAGCTCTCCAACTCACTTAAACTCCATCCAGTTTCCAGTTTCTGTATCTCACTTTTCTTACTCAAAATTTGTCAGTGTGGCCAGTGCCCTAACTACTATGCAGTTACATTTTATTCCAAACAATGTGCGTCCACATACTCTAAACTGATGACTTTTCCACCGGAGATAAAAATGGAACCACAAGGAAAGACAAAAGTCCTTTTTTTTTTTTTTTTTGCAGTACGCGGGCCTCTCACCGTTGTGGCCTCTCCCGTTGCGGAGCACAGGCTCCGGACGCGCAGGCTCAGCGGCCATGACTCACGGGCCCAGCCGCTCCGCGGCACGTGGGATCTTCCCGGACCGGGGCACGAACCCGCGTCCCCCGCATCGGCAGGCGGACTCTCAACCGCTGCGCCACCAGGGAAGCCCCATCCATTATTTTTCATCAAGATAGTAAAATGATATGGTATTTTCTAAATAAGTTGAGCTCACCTTGACTGAACTCTTGCCCCGTGAAAGACACTCTTATGCGCACCATCATGCACTCTTTTCCTGTCATCATCCCGTGCCTATAGGGAGACTCTATCCATTTCACAATGAAGAAAGGGAACAAAGTCAGCGTCCCCACGCTAGCACCGGGCTCTGCGTGACAGCGCTGTGGTTCTAGGCGCCAGGCTCCGCATACACTACGACGGTCAGATCAATTTTCTCTCTGCATCAGAGAGGTCGCCTTTCCCACGGACGTTCCATTCCTCTCACCCGAGCACAGTGAAACACAGATGTACTCACCACCCCAATAAATCAGGTACTCCTTTGTACCTTGGAGGATACAGGCATCATGTTTACAAAAATATCACGTGGAGAACATTTTTGGTGTGGGCAGGGTGTTGCGATGCAGAAGACAGAAATCTCAGAGTTACTGAAATAACCATTACAATCTACAGATTCCAATTCCTAAAAACGACTTATCAGTCTTGGCCTCTCAAGAAATTTTTCTTCTCTTCATTCAAACACAAGAAATTCTTCATAGGATTTATACTGTCAGCTGTAAAATACGTCCCATCTATAGGTTGGCTTATCTTCTGTGTTAGTTTCCTGTTGCTGCTGTAACAAAAGTCCTCAAACTGTGTGGCTTAAAACAGCACAAATAAGTCAGTATCTTACAGCTCTGGGGGTCCGGAGTCTGGGACGGTCTCACCAGCCTGAAATCCAGTCAGGCTGAGCTCTTTACAGGAGGCTGCAGGTCAGAATTCCTTACTGTCATAGGACTGAGGTCCCTGTTTTTTCAGTGGCCATTCTCAGCATCTCGAAGCCACTGCATTCTGGGGCCCAAGGTCCCTTCCTCCTTCTTCAAATGGTTGGTGGAATTGAGTCCTTCTCAGGCTGCATCTGCATGACTCATTCATCTGCTTCTCTCTGAAAGTCGCTGGGATTAGCTGGGCCCACCTGGATAATCCAGGAGAATCTCCTCATCTCTAGACTCGCAATTTAATCAATTCCCTTTGCATGTAACGTAACGTATTCATAGGTTTCAGGAATTAAGACACAGATGCTTTGGGGGCCGCCATTATGCTACCCACCACATTCTTCAGCCGCATACGTAAATCCTGACTGTGTTAAAGTATTAATACTCCTCATATGAGACAAGTGAAGTCATAAATCAAGATGAACAGGTATACACACTTCTCAAAAAAAAATACACAACCGTAACTCAAATGACCAGGTTGAGACCAACATTAACAAAATCAGGCATCTTCGGCTGTCCCCTAAAACCAAGTTCCTTAAATTCTCAAGTTTTAGAAGGCCACTGAAAAGTTAGGGATACTTCTCTTTTGGGGGGGAAAGTTTATTTCTAAATAATCTTCACTTACCTTCCCTAGCGTCCACTGGATTTGAACTGGAGAGTTTCCATTGCTACTGACCAGAAGCATCATCAGAGGGAAAATGGAAAGAAAAAGAGAAACTTAATTAAATGGTAATTATCTACAGCTTATTAACTGTATAAAACAATCTTTTCAAGTAATTTACATACTGACTATGGGAGAACGGATCAGGGCACAAACCAATCTTCAATAGTTCAATAATATTCATTTGAAAGAGCTCCCCCTCAACAAGAAGAACAGGTGTCTACCGTGATCAGAAAATGCTTTTTAGATTTGAGTCCTTTTGTCTGCAAGTACATTTGAGAACCTTTTCTGGGGACACACCTGAGAGTGAAAGTGAATTATCAATGACAGTCTTTTTTATTTTTTTTCCTTAAAAAAAAAAAAAAAAAAAAGAATCAGTGGTTCAACACTAATTTCTAATCAGATCCTACAGAAAGGAACAGCCCGCACGGCAGCTGTACTTTTCCCAGGGTTAATTACCTTTCACTGCTCTCTGCTAATGAGTCAGCTGTCCCTGTCAGAGCACAGCCCCGCTTCATCTGGAGGCCTCGCTGTGGACAAACAGCCAGTGACAGTCCTATTTACATATGGGGGTGTTTGTTGTGCAAAAGATTTCCAAAGCCTTTTTTAAAAATAAGATCCCTTCATTTTCATGTGTTTCCACGCTAAAAATATTCTTACAAATAAGATTTTACTTGGTCAACTATTCTTTTCCGCCCAGGCCACTGGCTTCACCACGAGAAGATGGAAAATGCCGAGTCCTGGAAAGAGGCAAACTTCACGGCCTCCACAGAAAGCTTTGTCTTACTGGTTCCTCAGCATCGTTAGAACGACCCTGTGGGGATGAGGCAGGACTCGAAAGTTTGCAACCTCCTTCCCTGGTAAAAAGACTTTCTAAAAAGATGCATTCCAGAAAATTAAATTCGAGGGTAGAAAATAAGATAGAAAGACACAAACACATCTTGGATTTATTTGTACATGAAAGGTGAATTAGAAAATTGAGTTTTCAAAAAAAGTTAGACTTGAAAACTATGCTTTCTCTTAAAATGTCTAGGTCATTGTGGGATATATTGACATATATGGTCTATATATGTGTATATGAGTATATATGTGTGTGTATATATGCACACATATGATTTATTATCCAGTTAATAGCTCTGCTACTCATATCATGGTTCTGCTCTCCATCTCACAATGTAGACAGGGTGCCTCTACATATTTTTGAACATTGTAGCCACGAGGTTTACCCGTCTCTTCCCCCTTTTTATTCCAGAGGGAACTGAGAGGGATCCACAAACAGGATAGTATCCACTGATCTCGCTCAACAAAAATGTGTGTAGTTTGCCAAGCCCTCTACTAGAGATGACTGAAAGTTTTGGCAAAAAGATAGATGGTCAGAATTTCATTTATTTAATTGCAAAATGAAGACAAACAAGGATGGAGTTATAGATAGAGGAATTACTATGTAAGTGTTTTTTGTTCTGACAAGGGACAGAAAAACTGGAAAATGGAATGAAATCACTGGTACGAAGTGGTATAAATAATAACTGGGATTCAAAGTATATCATTTAAAATATACAAACCAGATAGTAAAAGATTATATTTTTTTTAAAAAAGGAGAGAAATAAAGAAGAAAACAGAAGTATTGATATATTGATGTAAGGTAAACACTAGAATAAAATTAACAACTTCTACCAAAAGAAATGAAACAATAGAAATCACAATATAAAAAGCTAGGGAACAGTTAATGGGTAGTACTGCCTTGAAAATAATTAAGGTTTAAAGGTAATATTTCGTAGTGGTTTTGTATTTTGTTGGCTGAATGACCTATTAACTACTTTATAAAATAAGCAAAACACATGAACTCTTTTCTTTTTTCATGCTGTTATCTGCAAACATTTCTCTCTGTACTCTCAGGGTTATTCCCACAGTTCCCTAATATAAATAAGTTGAATTAGGGTGTTTGAATATATTTCGGGCAGTGAAAAAAAAGCATCCACTGATCCCACTTTGCCAGCCTCCCAAATGCCCCTGAATGGCAGGTACCCTCCCCTGTAGGTTTCCTGCTCTAACCCTTAGGTCAGTGGCTTTCAGGTTCTAATGTGCATCAGGGTCACCTGGGTGTCTTGTTAAAAAGTGCAGGTCCTGATTCCGACACCCCGAGGTCCTGTAATCCTAATGAGGGTCCAGGGGCTCCTGTTGCTCCACAGGCCACACTTTGAACAGCAAAGTGTCAGAGCAGTCGTTCTCAAACATCAGCCAGCGCCAGAGTCACCTGCAGGGTCGTCTGGAGAGGGCCTGAGACAGTACCTCTTCAACATGTTCCCAGGTGATGCAGGTACCGATGGCCCGGGGACCACACTTCGAGAACCGTTGCCTTAGAGAGTCACTAATACAGGCTTTGAAGAACTCCAATCCCAAAGGCTAAATCCCCTGCATCCACATGGAACAGAGGCACTTCCCCACCCTATTCTAGAGCCATGTATTTGCTCTGTATTTAATAGTTTACGATAGAAAAGAACAGATAAAAAGTGAATGTTCTGGCCCATCCCTGGAGTACGTTCTGAGAACCACTTTATAGCTTATTGAACTTGATCTTCCCTTCAGCTGAAGCCATTCATGTTGAGAAAGGAACAGCAATTATGTACTTCTTCATTACAGGTGCCGTTATCAAATGTGAGCTCACAAATTACAGATCTAAGACCGCACAGCATTTAAACTGGCCCAAAGCGAATAAAAGAAGAGGATGAATTAATGAAAAATGATATCATAAAAATGAATTTCCATGTCAAGCAATGATGCGTATTTCCTTGAGACGTTCAGTGTTTTACCAGCCCTAGTAAACTCGGACTTATTTCTAAATGGCACAGCGAGTTTCTCATGGACGCTATGCGAAGCGTGCTGATTGCTGCTGTTTTGAAGAACACATTATCCCGAAAACTTCTCGAAGGATGAAAACACCTTTTAGTCTAATACTAAAAATAAGTTTGCGTCGCTGTCCTGGTAAATACCTCAGTGGCAAAGCTCCTACAAGGTCATTTGTCAACATTGTTCATTGGAATACATATTTTAGAACTAGGAGAGTACAAGCAGTTGGTAGTAAAATAAATTGTAGAAGGAAACACTGCTGAAGAGTGTTTTAGTAACGAGATGGAGGGTGATTCTCCAAACAGAAAATGACTCACGGAGCAGAAGTTAGGTGCTTTAGCAGTGATGTGCTCAGGCCAGGAAAAACTATTTAGTGTCCTGAAACATGAACTTACTAAACAACACTCCAGTAAAGCTGGGAGAATATGGCTCAATATAAGAAATAGCAGTAAGCAAAAAAAAAAAAAAAAAGAAATAGCAGTAAGCAAATGAGAACAGCTTTTTCAAATTCTTTTCCCATTTAGGTTATTTCAGAGTATTAGGCAGAGTTCCCTGTGCGATACAGTAGGTCCTTGTTGGTGATCTGTTTTAAAACTAGCAGTGTGTACGTGTCAGTCCCAAACTCCCAATCTATCCCTCCCCCTGACCCGCCCCCCTCCCCGGGTAACCAGAAGTTTGTTCACAAATGAGAACAATTTTAAAGGAATCAATGCCCCTTCTGAATTCTCACCGCCTCTTATGTCTTGCTACCCCACTGATATTTATTTAACAAAGCTATTTTAAAAGTATGAACCTCATCTAAATACAAGATAATGTCACAAATAAGTAATTTGATTAATGCCCGTATAACCAACCTTCTCTGTATAGAACAGTATTATTGAACGAACTCATTAACTTATTCGCTCAAATCTTCATTAAGCACCTATTCTTCTGGAGAAGAGGGAAAAGTGTTTATATAAACGGGTGGAGTCCTGTAGAGTGGAGAGGGGTGTAAGGTGTGTGCCCCTCTCACAGCACAGATACTTCTTTCGAACAAAGCAAAGAGGCGATAAAATGAAAATCTTTGAGAAGAGGGTGCCGCGTTTATTTCTTGGTAAGTTGGGAGAACCATCTGATGGGTTTGACGAGCTCTCTCCTGCAGAAGCACAAACATCAGGGTGTATAGTTTGAGTAGAGAAGAACTCATAATCCTACAAATTCAGGTCAGCTGTGCACGGTGCTGTCACGGCTGACTGTTGTGTCAAGATCCTAACCGATCTCTCTGCTTGGGCGGTTTTTAAGAGTTACAATGAATCAGACTAAATAAGAGCCTTCGGTCATTTGAACATCTGGTTGTACAGAGAGGTCAGGACCGTTCACGTCAGGCACTTTGTCCTGTGCTTATCCAATTCCGGTCTGTTATTTTTATTGGTTTTTGTTCGTTTTTGCTGGTTTCTCTCTAGATTCCAGTGTTTCATTATCTGTGGCAGGTTACTGAGGGAATCTGATCTTAGTTTTCCATCAGAGGTAACAGACTACGTATTTTGGGGGTACTTTAAGTTTTTCAAAAAGTGTACAAGGAGAAAATTCCTTGGAAGAACTACAGAATTCCTGCTTTTCAAGACTTAATTTATACAGTGTGTTTTCAAAGTGAGTAATGAGAATGCTCATGAAATGAAGACTTGGCCTCCAAGTAACCTGGATGGGTTTCCTCTCACCTTTTAACTCCTCCTCCCAAGTGTGGTTCCGTGTTCCCAAAGGAAGCCCCCCTAACCTCATAATGTATCACCCTCGACATGCTCTCCCCCTCTGCTCACTGAAGGCTCCTGCAGGGCCGGGACAATCTCCTCCCTTCTTTCTCCATAGTCCAGAAGCTCAGTGAGAGTGCTGACTATTTGAGGACCACTGCCCAATTATTAAGGAAACAGGGAACTGTGACCAAGGCCCTACCTCTGGGATATGAATTTTAGGAAAACAATGGATCAAATATCTAGAGATAAAGCATGAAAGTATCCAGAGCATGTAGCAAAAAGTTATGCTGGTGAAAACATACAGGGTAGATTAACTTGTAAGACTAATAAGTGTAACGCTTAAAGTAGGTTATTAATATCTGAAAACTAGTGAGGTACAGAATAACAATCTTATGAACAGTTTACTTGTGAACTGAGATTAACTTTACAAATT